CAAAAAGATTGGAAGGTATTGCGGGACTATTGGCTCAGGAGCCATACCAATTAGTGAGCCATACACAAAGCCCTTGTCCTGTACACTAGATTATATCACAGTTAAAAAAACTAATTTCTGTTGTCTGATTGCTGCCCTATACATTGGTTAGGACGAGATTTGATGTATGTATTTATAATAATCCTCACATCGGGCCCTGATGGCCTGATATTGATCAGGCAAAATTCATACAAACAAATGAAATAAGACCCAACAGAGCTGTTGTACATCTATGAGTGGGCTTTAGGACCATCTGTAAGCGGTACAAGCATCACACCTAACTGATGTTGCCTCACAACATTCACCACATGCAGAATGTTACATGCAGGCTAATTCACTACATTGCACAGCACACGTCTTACTTGGAGGGAGAGGGAGATAGAGAAGTTATGTATGATGGACATTTATTGGACAGAAAATACTGCAGCTGCCTCTGTTTCTCTGTCTCCCACACAATCTGAGTTGTTACAGGGGGGGTGTCCGTATGTATCATTGGAAAATGTGGCCCTTAAATTGGCATGGGGCCCAGGAATGGAGGAGAAGAACATCTGACTGGCTGGATAGGCAGACTGAACTCACTGACTTAAGTCCCAGGTAGGATCCTGATAAACTGTACAGTAGGAAAGGCAATGTCTACAAGACAAGATGTACATCATTGCCAGGAGTAAAAGAGTCACTCATCTTATGTTTGATAAGGGAACACACCATGGTTTCAAATGTTCCATCTGTCGACATGGCTGAGCTGTCCGAGGTGCCCTCTGCCTTATGGTCTGCGCACAAATATGACGTAGGACTGGTGAGGGGTGCGACGCCTCTGGTGGTTCACCCACAATTAGATTTCTGTCCGTGCATGAAGCAATAGCCACTCAAATAAAAGGCTATTGATGGTATTACACACGTTTTTGAGTCTTTATTGAAGGCTGGTGTAATAGTCAAATGTGATGATTCACCGGTGCGCAAACCAATTTTTCGGTGAAGAAAATGCGAGACATGGGGGGAACCGACTGAGTGACGATTTGTTCAAAATTTACAAGCAGTTAGTTCTTCGGTGCACCCGCGAGCACCTACCATTTTTAATCCACACATCATTATGTCACTCATCCCTCCAGACACGACCCATTTTTCTGTTGGCCAATGCATTCTTTTTCTTTTGTATTTGTGCACAATTTTGGTTTGCCTTCTCCTTTAAAGGAAGAGGCTTTATCTGGACCCGGGGTTATTATAAAGCCCTGGTGTATTTAGCAGAGCCGTGAGAGACAATCTGGCTATTTTACACTTATAAAATGGTTCGGCCTTGTTACATTATGTTGATGACATCATGATTTGCAGCCCCACAGGAGAAGCATGCACATTAGAGTAATTTACAATTACAGTTATCCTACCTCTATTTGTGGGCTGAAAATGGTCACAAGGCTATCCGTCCAAATTGCAATTTGCTCTCAATAAATTTTCATATCTGGGACATGTGATCACAGCAGAGGGCAGAACCCTCTCTCCCAAAAAGAATACGGGCAATTAAACTGTGCCTAAACCACAAACTAAGAAACAAATGAGTTTTTTTTAAGAATGACGTCATAGTATAGACAATGGATACCAAACTATTCAGAAAGAGAGGCATTCCTCTCTTCCATTATTCATGGTAAACATCTTTTCTGCGCATAGAGAACTGACCTGGACTGACTCCTCGACTGATGCCTTTAATGACATAAAGAGCATATTACTGTCAGCTCTGACACTTGGACGACCTAAACCTGACACACCATTCACACAGTACGTTGACCAAAGGGACAGTTACATGACATTAGTTCTGACTCAGCAACATGGGAGGAACAGAGACCTGTTGCATATTTCTCTACTAGACTAGAGCCTGCAGCAGCTGGCCTTCCTCTGTGTCTTCGTGCTGTGGCACGTGACATTGTTGGTTATGGTGAGCTCACCCTCAAGGTTCCTTATGCTGTTTCACATATTAGATTAGATTAATACATTATATTTGCCTAACATTACTGTGAAACAATGTATCCTTAATCATGCTACTCTTTTCCCTCCTGCAGCAGATGGAGAGCTAAATAACTGTGTTGTTTCTCCTGAACAGGTCTGCACAACGAGACCTCACAGACATGTCCACCAAGGCCGATTTACAACTGTTAGGGGACTGTTTAGCATCCTGCATGCCAGACACGGGAGAAGGGTTGGTTGGGTTTGCTGTAGTCTCATCATATGACACTGTGCAGCAGTAAGTTGGCATCACACTTCTCTGCTCAAGCTGCAGATCCTGTGGCTCTTACAGAAAGCAGTAAGCACGCTGTGGACAAAATAGTTAACATTTACACAGACTCTAGCTATGCACGACTTTGGTGACCTGTGGAAACACAGAGGCTTTCTGACATCTTCTGGCAAACCCATTTCTCACCACCGTCTCGTGGCCGACTTGCTAGAGGCCATACTGCTCCCTGAAACTGTAATAAATATTTATTTTGAACAATACGATGCGTTTTCACTGAAACAGTTGGCCTAAAACAGCATAGCAGGGGTCACCAATAGGCGGACCCTGGACCTAAAACCGATTTTGACCGGCGCGGCTTTTCTAGCCTTTACGGTACTCGTTCAGTGGCGCAGTAAACACACAGACCAATTGAATGCGTTGTGGATCACATCACGTGATGCTGCTCAGCCAATCACATATTCCGACAAGGTTCCCGACTCAAGAGAAGTTAGAAGAATAAAGTGGGTCAGGAGTTATTTCACATGACGTTCTCCAAAAGACAAGAGTGGTCAGAGAGACCAGAGTCTTTAAACAAGAATGGACAGACAGTTATAGGTTAATTCTTCACACGGGCAGTTTAAAACCAGTAGGTTCAGAGACCATGACTATAATTAAAAGCAGTAATGTGAAGCGCCACTATGAGACAAAGCATAGGCCTAACTCTTGTGATCAAACCCACTCACATCTTAAATGAAGTCACAGAAAATAAACAATTTAAGAGCCGATATGATCAGAATCCTAACACGTGAACACACTGACCAACAATGAGGTTGACGGAGAGAATAGAGCTGAAACAAGTGTATTTTCCTCTTATTAGAAGATGAAGAAAATATAGTATCGTTTCTTGGTTGACATCACTTCACACCTGAATGAACTGAATTTAAAGCTGAAGGACAACTCAGTTAAATACATTTTCTAAAATGAAGTACTTTATTTTAAGGGCCAGGTTCCCAGCCTGGCTCTGTTACATCAACCACATTTTCACACACTCACCACATTTTCCTCAAGCTTTCTGTTTGTTATGTTTTTATCCAGCTCTTATTTACTTACTTGAGATGAGAGAACATTTATTTATTATCAGAGTATGTATTATTTATAATTCATCCAGTTCAATTTGAAATTGGACAATAAATATTGTTGAGATATTATTCAATTTAACTTTCTTCATTTGATTTGACAGTTGATTTTGACAGCTCAGTTGCTACGTACAGACGTTAATACAACTGTTGGCTACTTCAATATACATCATAGCGCAAGTTAGACATTATTGTGGATTGTATTGTAACCCTTTGAGTAGGAAATTCTCTCTAACTGGACCTAGTTGAACTTTGAAATATTATACTGCAGTGGTATTTAAATACAGTAGTGATTTCTCAGAGAATAACTAAGGAGCATCATTTATCTGTAGACCTCAGGGTTTAAGACTAGACCTAAAGAAACAGTTACTGGGAACAAAGTAAAGAAATTATAACATATCACATTTTATTAATTTAGCATGGTACACAAGAGGGTTCACTGTTTTTTGTATTTTGTAGAAAATGTATTGATTGCTAACAACGCATCAAACATGTAGCCGATCACCTCACTCATTTTGTGTGGCTGGGGAGAGAGAGGAGGGTAGTAACCCGAGTTTCCCAAACTGCAAAGCTGTCATACAGAAATCAGTGTGGTAGGAGGTGAGATCATATGTGCAGAGATGACGCCGCAATGGAAGGCAGATCTCCTGCACCATGGCACCCATTCCGCTTACCGGGATGGTGTGGCCTAAGAGGTTCAATGTGTTTTCTGCTCTTAAATGCAATAATAATTGTGTTTCCTAATCCTAATAAACCATGGCAACCAAAGAATGTACAACCAAATGCAAACAATTATAATGAGAAGAACTAAAATTGTTAACCAGTAGATTAAAGAAAGATTTGTAAAACCTGTGCTGTGTATGTAATGTGGTGGAAAATTTCTAGGTTAATTGGGAGGAGAGAGTTTTCGTTCTCAAATTAATAATGAAGTCATCAGAAGATTCAAAGTTGCATTTACCCTCTATCTCTGAAATGACCCACCAATATTGTCTGAACCTGTTTTTTGTCTGTGTTCCTTTTTTGGGTTATCAATGACGCAAACAAATAAAAAAGTTAAAATGATGCAGTCATATGTTAGTTTCATTTAGGATGGGTCACTATCCCCTTATTTCAGGTTGTTAGAATTTTCACTTATCTAACTTGGACTTATTCTTACAAACTTTTCACTAACTATTTCCAGGTTTGTATTTCTGATGTTTTCTTACTTTTCACAATCGACATGGACTACCTATGAAGAATAGCAAAACCACTGTGCTGTTCATTCATTCCAGCACTTTTGTACTGGGAGGTATAATTATCATGTGCAGAACAATGAGATCAAATATATACTGTATATATAAAGCTTAGAGCTGCAGATGTACTGTATGTGCTAATTCTCAGTGACTTTGATAGTCATTATGATTTTAATAATCATGACTCGTGACTTTTTGTCGGTGTGATAGTTCAATAATTACATGTATCTGTAAAAATAATGTGTAACCTGCCTTTATATTCATATGTATATCCCAGATAATTAGTAAATAAACAAGACAGAACTAATGTGAACTCATTTTAAGTCTCTGCTAGACTGCCAAGATGGAATTTGAGTTAACCATCCTTTGCTATCTCATGTATTTCTACAGTTACGGACGGGTATATGCTGCCGACCCCTACAGCCACACACTCACTCCAGCAGCCACATACAGCGTTGGTGCCATGGTAAGACTATCGTGCCTGCCACACAAATTTGTTCCATCTCTGGTCCTCTTCACATCATGCATTATCCCACATTATCCCTTTTTTCAAAGTATTTAAAATCAAATGTTTCTCCAAAATACATTTTAAAATTAAGCTTTCATGTCTTGCATGTCAGCTGCTTGTATTTACATTGTTTAGAGCTGCACCTGGTGCACAGGCTTGAGTGGAGTGAGACTAACTGACCAATCATTGCATTTGGTGTTGTTGATTAGGGTATTGTCAACATAAGCCTGATACGTTTTTTGTGGCCATAGCTACAAAAAATATTGGCCATAACTCTTAGATACCATACAATTCAAAAGATTAGGGGGGGTAACGAGGTTGGCGTCAGCAGATCTGAGGTTGCGGTTGGGAGCGTGTCGGTGCAGGAGGTCCGAAAGGTATGAAGGGCGAGGTTATGGAGGGCTTTGTATGTGATGAGGAGAATCTTGAACTGGATTCTTTGCTGTATGGGGAGCCAGTAGAGGTTCTGAAGGACTGGGGTGATGTGGTCTCTGGTGCGGGAGTGGGAGAGCAGACGGGCAGCTGAGTTCTGGATGTATTGTAGTCTGTTGATGATTTTGGTGGATGAGCCGTACAGGATGCTGTTGCAGTAGTCCAGTCGAGAGGTGATGAAGGTGAGGATGAGTGTTTCAGTGGCTGAGGAGGAGAGGGAGGGGCGTAGACGGGCGATGTCACATTGTTAGAACTAAATTAACCTTGATGCAGTACTGCTTGATGCTTGACCCTAGTAGGATATTGTAGGCCTTAAAGCACCAGTATGTAGGATTTGGTGGCATCTAGTGGTCAGGCTGCAAATTGCCACCAACTGAACTCCCCACTGCTCCCTTACCAAGCATGTTGGAGAACGACAATGGCCTTCAGCTAACATAACAACGTGAAAGTCTCTCTAGAGTCAGTGTTTGGTACGTCCATTCTGGGCTTCTGTAGAAACATAACGGTGCAACATGGCGGACTCTAACTTAGAGTCCGCCATGTTGCACCATTATGCAATTAAGTTATTCTATATAATTCAAGTGTTGGGGTTTGATCTCTTCAAGGAAAATGAGTTTGCCTTGTATCTGTGTTCTCATAATTTCGGTCACTACTCAAAGCTCATTACAATAGGTGAGATTTGGATTGGCTGGTAAATTGAAAGCTTCACCTTCAAGCTGAGCTCCTTCGTCACAACAGCAGTGTGGTACAGCGTCTGCATTAATTGTGTTCCATCTTACCCTCACACGTGAAGAACACTCCAAGACTGACGACTGAGGAAGCCATCACAACTACATTATCTGGAAAAAAAGCAGAGATCCAATCTCAAACTGAAATAGTACAATCTTTGCAGAGAATATCATCACAGCGTTATACAAGCCACGTAGCGATGGTACTGGCACCCCATACTTCCGAAGAACTCCTTAAAACACACCCTGGGAGACATGGCCTTCTTCAAGGCTACAGAGCACTATCATCCAGACTGGACTAGGCAAACTCCCCTCCAGTAGCCTTGTAAGTAAAGAGCTGATCCACTGCTCCACGACCGGGATGGAATTTACATCTGAGATCTGACTAACAGACAGTGTTTTCCAACACTCTTTGTGGTATCCTGACACTTGGAGAAGCACTGTAGTGCTTTCAACTGAGCTCCCTGACTTTCCAACAGGTAGTAACCCCTTGGCCTGTGCCCGGAAGGCTCGTTAAGTTAATCCGACCTTAAGAGTGGGGATCAATAAAATTGTATTGAATCCCCTAGTCATGAATCTGCTTATGAAACCCCAACCCACAAATCCAAACATTTTCAAGTTATCGATAACTAACAGATACAACACGCACGTCCAGAACTGACAGCAGAGGGTTACCCAGAGTGTCATAGTAAAGTGTAGGGCCAACAAGAAAGCTGCGGTATTTGACAAGTTGGGAGTGAGAATCTCCTCCACTCTTCCGAAAATGAATAACCCATTGGCCCTTTGCCCTCTGACCGGTACACCCATAGCTCTGTGCTGTGGTCTCTGACTGATGATCAATTCCAACCTCTTTTTAGGAGAAAATTGACTGTAGGAAAGAGACAAAGTGGTCAGTGCATTTTGGGCCATGAATAGTGTCTGCAGATACTCCTTTTGCGCAGCATACAGCCCTGACAACCTTTACCAATACGCTGAGGTAGCTTTTTTGTAGCCTGAAAGGCTAAAGCCAGGCCAAAATATCTGCTAAGTCGTCACCACACCACTCCCTACTGCTATATGTGTACAATATTAACTGAAGTTGACTCAGGTGAGTGAATCAAAACGTTTAGCAACTCAGATCCTCCTTCTGGCAGCTAGACAGTAAGAGTAAGTAAGACATGCTGAGAGAGGTTTTTATTGTAAAGTGAGTGAGGGAGACAGTGGAAATGATGCCCTTGTATTGAGATGGACTTGAACGAATCTAAACCTATCCTTCAACAGCTGTGCCAATTAAGCCCATAAAGAGTTTACTTTCATCATGTGCAGGGTTGTAGGATCTAAAGCACCTTCCAAAGATAGCTCACCAAACATGCTAACAGCCAGCATTAAAGATCAAGTAATTAGAAGCAGTTAAGATTTGTCTGCTGTTTGGATGTTTTTGACAAAAGGCAGAGCAGACCAGAGCTGACTGTGTGTATCTGTGTGTCCAATCAATACGCCTTCTCTTAAGTAGTCTATTGGTTCATATACGTACATATACAATTGCATTGTTAGCTATATATTTAATTCCACCAACTGCACTCCACAATCTCCACACACGCTTCACTGCCACCCCACCCCCTTTCCCACCCCATCCTCTTCTTCAGTTGCTGTGCTTTTCTGCAGCGCTGACATCTCCTCACTTAAACTTAATTGAATTGTCTGTGCTGCTAACGGCAGTCCAAATGACACATTAATCCCGCCTGTAAAAGGTGATGAATGTCTTCATGCTTTGGCAGCCCAGTCCATGTTAGTTATTACATTTCTAATTTGGTGGATACCACCTCACCCTGCACTCCCTGGTAATGAAATAATTAGTCATTTTGATAATTAAATCCCTCGTGAAGCAGCAGCCGCCTGGAAGAGGCGAAGGAGGAAAGAAGTGAAGAAAGCTGAGCGGACTGGAGGGAAAGATTGTCAAAAGTTCCTGGCAAACAGAACCATCCAAACTCAACAGCTCATTGTGTTTTGGCTTCAAATAAGGTTTAAAGTGTCAATACAATACACCAATGTCTTTGGCGAAGATGCTACACCTAATATTCTTTATTCTTGTATAATATCTTACAAAAAGTTCCTCCTCATTTTCTTATGTTTTCCTACAAAAGCCGTCCGTCTTCACAGGAAAAAAATGAAGTTCGGTTTAGGCAACAAAACAACTTAGTTAGGTTTAGGAAAATATCGTGGTTTGGGTTAAAATAACTACAGGAGTGCCGTTACTGAAGTACGCAAGTTGTGTGACAAATAAAGATATATAAGATATATATTTTTATGTATGGCTACATCGCTAACATATCAATATTAAACATACCGCAAATTGGGTTACCTTTTTTTTGAAAGCCCATTACTAATGTTAAATATTTGACCTATCATTAGGTCCTGAAATACTACATTTTCCCAATTCCAATTGCTTCCCGCTCCTTGTTTGTCCTGGAAATAGTTCCATTTAGCCCTATTGAAGGATGTTCCAATTTCCTTGTTTCTGCTCTGAGGACTGAGGATCGAGAAGCGAGGACGGATCTCTGAGGAGACAGGAAAAAGGATACATGACACCAACAGACCCCTTTCTTAGAAATCTGTGTCACTGGACGCTGCAGCTGATCAGGATGCTGCATAACATCACTGCGGACCGAAGTGAACTGACAAACAACAGAATCCACTGAGTTTTAGTTTGTATTCATTTTCTGATTAACCATCTGGTTCAAATGTGTGGATATCTATCAACTCTGATTTACAAAAGAACCATACACAACTTTCTTCATATATTCTCTCTTAATAATCTGTTACACTTCATTTTGTTAGGGAGAAGAGGAGAGTCTAAAAAATATATTTTAGTTATATATCATCATTTCCTTTCAGTCACATGTGAGGCTGGATATCCCTGTACATTGGGTATAAATGTAGTTTAATGGAAGACTTATTCTCCGCTTTCCCTACAACATTTGGGTCAATATATTATTTCTACACATTATAAGATATTCTAGTAAAATCATTGTTCATGAATTATTTCATATAACAGAATATCAATAAATATAAATGAATAAAATTGTAAATTTCAAAAAAACGTGTTGCTATGCGTAGAAATAGAGACTCTGATGCAGAGAACAGAGGGAGGCAAACCTGGATGCATATACTGTATATTAATATACTCATTTGGGATATACTTTTTTTTTTTTTTTCTAGTTCCATTAGTCTTACCAATAGCCACTAATTATCCGACCCATCCGGTATGAAAACTTTCTGACACCATTCTTTGAACTAATGCACCTTTCAGCTACCCCTGAATCCAACCCTCACCCATGCAAAGAGCTCAGCTGTCCCAACTAGCATGGTGGGAAGTTTCGTCTGAATGCCGCTGCCTGCTGAGTGCTCAGTTGATATCTAGTCCCACTAATCCTACAAATAACCACCAGATTAGCAACCTGTCTGGAACCATGAATGCTGTCTCTTTACCTATCTTTCCAAAGAACAGTTACCGTATGAATCTGTGTAATCATGGAAAGGTCTTTGCACACACGTCTGTATGTTTCTTCCGAAAGTGTTGCATGTTTAAAAATAAATATGATCTCACATTGTGTCGATCATGTTTACACACCGACAAAGAAACCTGCTCAGAAAACAATAGTGAGGGTCCAACATTTGAGGTTTTGTGTTTTGTTGCATTTGTCTTGTCGACCTGTTTGACCACTCAGAGCCACGTAAACTGGCATCTGATAAACTGATTCACTTCATTCCTCTCCCAGCACAAATCGCTTTTCGACGGAAAATGAAAGCATACATAGATGAGGAATTGAAAGATAGATTGTGGCAGATGATTGCGAAACTGCTTGGAAATCCAGGATGGTCGCAAATCAAAGGATGTAGGAATAGATTGGACAGTAGTGATTGTGCACTAGGCAGCTAAACTGCCATTCATTCATTACCCCCGTTCAAGACTAGAGTAACATATTAAACATATCATACCACAAAATATTTATATGTAGCATTAGATGTTATATAAGCCTACTTATGTTTCTATAATATTCACAAAGACCTCTTCCTCTGGTGCCTATCCATGCTGTGGAGCAAGATGAGCCTTGGGAATTTGCAACCAAAATGATGTCATAACTTCCATTGATTATTGCCAGCGAAGCCTCCGTACTTCTCGACAGAAAAAAAGTCACGGAGAAAACAATAAACATGACCCAAAATCCCCATTGTGCTGATTCTCTCGGTAGCAGGGGTTGAAGTAGGCCCGTACGGTCCGGTACTCTCCGTACCACTATGAGATTCAGTGCTGGTACAGTACCAGGAAGAAGAGACAGCAGCTGCCTGCCAAAACCTCATACAAGAACCATCATGATTTTCAACAAGAAAACACATCTGCTAACATTAGGTCAGTAACATACAGTTAGCTTGGATAAGGAGGTAATGTGGTCAGCTCGTTTGTCTGTTTATTTGTTCACACTGTGGGATGAGGCATTCCTGCTGCATTCATGTGGTGTTGTGTTAAGCAATAAAGTAGTGCCCATGTTGTTTCCACATTACGACTGAAGCTCATGAACACCTTTTGAAAAACAATTAGCATGAAGTGTTTCTAATGTCCTTCTACACCATATGGTGTTAAACGTGTGTGTGTTTAGGGATGAATGAAGGAGAACAAAATGAAGTGATGAAGGTTGAGGTAGAAGTAACGGCAAGAACTTCAATATACTTCCCCCCCTGCAAGGCACTGATATTATCACATACCTTCTGAGTTTGAGGAAATACGGTCGGTCATTTGAGGTGGAACTTTTACCTGAATTAGAGACAAGCAGATTGGCAGAGGATTCATTCTAAGAGTAGGAGCATCTACCACTGAGAATGTCTGGCCAGTTAGAACGTCACTCCTTCTCTGATGGACAGCTTTGTAAAAAGATTCATAAATGCAATTTCATCTGGACACGTACAGCGGAAACTGTTTTCAACATTCTCTTTCAACTGTGAATTTCACAGAAATAAATGACATTTCATAATACATCTAAAATGACTGCTGCTAAATGCTGCAACTACCTCAAAATCTCCATCACCTCCACCCAGTGAAAACCAGCAAGTTCCATCATCAAGATTAAGCCCCTCCTGGTTCCCATTCTGCTTAAAATCACCTTTTGACTTGATTTCTTTGATCTTTTACTCCACTTGTTCACAGTTGTATTGACTGGATTTCTTTCACATAGCAGTTGGCATGCACCCCTGGCATGAAGCGTCTCGCTGTGCTTGCTGCATGACGGTTGCTCCGGTCATTGGTCTTTTCATCCCCCCATGGGTTTGCACTGGAATAACGGTAATGTAATGTTGAAACGCTAGTTGTAGTGTGTGCGGGACTAAAGAGGCTAATGAGGGCTTGTGTGTGTGTGTGTGTGTGTGTGTGTGTGTTTCTATGAATGTGTGTTTGTGCATTCTCTCCTGGGTGTGTGTGCCTGTGTGTGTGCGGGTGAACCACTGTGTTTGTCCGTGCGTTTGTGTGTCTGTTTCAGAACGCGTTCACCCCGCTGACAGATGCGAAAACTCGGAGCCATACGGACGACGTGGGGCTAGTGCTGTCCTCTCTCCAGGCTAGTATATACCGGGGAGGCTACAGCCGCTTCGCACCCTATTAGCGACACCTCCAACCTATACTCAACCTTCCAACAGGACGGAAAGAAAGTGTGTGTGAGCGCGAGTGTGTGAGTGAATGAACCCTAACCCTTACAGGGAGAACGAGTTACGGAGGCCTGGGTAATGCAATACATGCAGTTTGTGCATCATTTCAGCTTCTCCTAAGTGAGAAGTACAAAAAAAGAATAAAATGACAGCTGATATTTTTCCTCTTATACCTCAGATATTTTGTGCTGTGTATTTTGATATTGTGGTTTTTTAATTTCTAAAGATTTCAACCTAGATTATCAGCTGTAGTTCTGTCCATGGTAGTATTATTAGAGAGCTGCTAGAGCGCTGATTAGGACAAAAATGACACATTTATCAGATTCAAGTTGTTAGGGCTTGTATAAAACTCCAACCTTGTAAGATAGGTCATAGTCACACATCGGGTTGTTCTGTTTTGTAAGAGTGTTATGGTGACTATGCTAGTCATGTGTTGTTTTACTTGTGTCAGCTTTCTTTGGCACCTCCTCTGTCAGTTTAGCAATGCAATCTTTTGAGGAAGTCAAGGAGCCTTTGAAAACATGGACAAAGACCAAAAGTTCTCCTCTGAACCTTTGCGAGCAGGGTGGGTCAGCAAAAGAAGCTGAGAACAGCCATTGTTGCTATTATGAAGTCCATCATCCTGAGATCTCCAAAACTAAAATGTCTTGTTACCATGAGAACACGTCGTTTACTTGTGGCTGCAACCTTTCTGGCATTTGCTCATAGTTATTTTGCCAAACCAAGATAATAATTCTTTTAAGAGACAAAATCCCATGTAGTGTCTCCATAGTCATGGAAACTGCATGTATTGTAGCCCAATACCATTTAATGCTACATGAGGAGGTTTGTTTTGTAATTTACAACATTGCATTACATTGAAAAAGAAAGAACATTTCCATGTAAGTTTGACTTTCTATCTCATAATTACAAAATCCCATCTCTAACATATGTCAAATATAATCATCATCCACCAAACGTCAACGTCTGGGCCCAATCAGAATAGCATGTGCATGAGCTTTACACTGAGAATAGATGCTGCAAATGTAGCTATGAGCAGTCCGTCTGATTTGGTGGGAATTTAGGATCAGCAGCTGACAGCAAGTAAACTTTGACCCAAGCTGTTTCTATAGCAGTGCAATCCAATGACACCAGTCACAAGTCGTGTTTTGACTGACGCAGCATCACAGATATTTCTCCTTAACATCTCACCTAACAGATATTACACTCAACACCAAAACATAGCCGTTAACATGATATAAAAACCCTTCATAAGAGGTACGTTCCACCTGCTTCTCAGTGACTGATGAGGACATCACTTCATGGACCAGGTCCAGCATTGAGGGAGAGAGCTACAGACTGTAAGTCATCTCTCAGGGAGACTCCTCACCGTCCATGTGCATCCAGTAAAAGAGCTTGTTGTTGCCGCTGACGGTTCACATAGTTGTTGGACACGTCTGACAACATTGTGGAGATAATTCAACTCTTCCTGTTTGTTATTATGTCACGTGACTTGTTGCCAGGAGACAACGGTGGAAACGTGAGTGAGAGTTGTTGTCACAGTTTGTTGTGTCGGAGTACAGAAAGTGTACCTTATTGTTATCTCAAAGATGTCCATGTCATGGCTAAATATTGAGCTGATTTCAGAACGAGACGGAATAAAAAGCTGGATCAAGAAGAAGCCATTATTTCCACAATGTTGTCAGACACGTCCGACAACTATGTAAGCCGTCTGAGAGATGACATTACAGTCTGCAGCGCTCTCCCTCAATGCTGGACCTGGTCCATGAAGTGAGGTCCTCATCAGTCACTGAGAAGCAGAAACATGAGGAGGTAGAGTCCAGGTAGAATAGTATCCTTTAACCCACATCATCAGCACATCACTTCCTATGGCTCCATTGATTACACAGGCTAACAATAACTACTCATACTGACATGGTGAACCTCTGATAATCATGAGATACTAAGTCACAACTACACGACGAGCTCTCCACATCTTTTTCTCTCCTTTGGTGAATGATGTGTGTTTCATAATAACAACATTCTCTGTTTGATGTTACTATAGTCAGAATGAGAAGAATGTCTCTAATGAGGGCATTTCTGCTTTGTCATAAGGTAATGAAAAGGAAAATACAAGAGGACAAGAAGTATTAGCAGTGACAGCTGCTCTCAGCTTCCACAGATGTCCAGGTGTAGTTCAGCTCCCTCTTTAGGGAGAGAGCGGTGTGAGTCAGCACTGCTCATATCTCACATCTCTTCAAGCCAAAGCTTCTGATGGACGTATCTGGGGTGTTATGTGTATAGTGCGGATTCTACATAGATACAAATTATGACATGAGAAAAAAGAATTGCCATAGCAACCAAACTGTTCAACCATTTAACTGCTTAGCCCACATGCTGTGATATTTAAAAAAATGAGGGTCAAAAGCAGAGATTTGTTGAGACGAATCAGATGAATTGAAAAATTGTGAAGGAAAAGTCAACGAACGTCAAATCTGAACTTTAAATGTCCTCTTCTGTACGGAGGAGCCATCAGATACACCTCCAACATATTCACTGCTTTAAGTGATGACTTCTATATACAGGAGCTATAAATAAAAAAAACATATACATATATATGCCATCCATCCATCCATTTTCCACCGCTTATCCGGGGTCGGGTCGCGGTGGCAGCAGGTCAAGCAGGCCGACCCAGACCTCCCTCTCACCGGCAACATGTTCCAGCTCATTCTGGGGGATCCCGAGGCGTTCCCAGGCCAGCTGGGAGATGTAATCTCTCCAGCGTGTTCTGGGTCTTCCCCGGGGTCTCTTCCCAGTTGGACGTGCCTGGAAAACCTCCAGTGGGAGGCTTCCAGGAGGCATCCTAATTAGATGCCCGAACCACCTCAGCTGACTCCTTTCGACGCGAAGGAGTAGCGGCTCTACTCCAAGCTCCCTCCTGATGACCGAGCTCCTTACCCTATCTCTAAGGCTGAGCCCGGCCACCCTACGGAGGAAACTCATTTCGGCCGCTTGTAGCCGCGACCTTGTCCTTTCGGTCACGACCCAGAGTTCGTGACCATAGGTGAGGGTAGGGACGTAGACCGAGTGGTAAATCGAGAGCTTTGCCTTCCGGCTCAGCTCCCTCTTCACCAAGACGGTCCGGTGCAGCGCCTGCTTTACTGCTGCAGCCGCACCGATCCGTCTGTCGATCTCCCGCTCCATCTTACCTTCACTCGTGAATAAGACCCCGAGATACTTGAACTCCTTCGCTTGAGGTAGGCACTCCGTCCCCACCTGGAGGGAGCAATCCACCGGTTTCCGGCAGAGAACCATGGCCTCAGATTTGGAGGTGCTAACTCTCATCCCCGCCGCTTCACACTCGGCTGCAAACCGCCCCAACATGAGCATAAACCTCAAAGTTTTAAGACCCTGCAGGAAAAACCCCAACAACCCAAATTGCTGGTTAAAGGAATGTCCAATCCCTTACCCATCAACTACATGCCAAGGCCTGGTGATATAATAGGTTAATCATATATGTACAGTATATATATATGTATATATACATATATATATATATATATATATATATATATATATAGATATATGTATATCAGTGGTCAAAGCCCATGTGTCTATTTTATCTCTTTCTTCATTTAGTTTGTCTTATTTTGTTTTTCTTTCATTCTTAAAGTTGAAGGAATGTAAAGTACGGTGTAATAATCCAACAATGTATAATAGTTCAACTGTTCTCTCATATGAAAACACAATGGTATGATGTTTTAGAATTAGAGGAGTAGATCAGTTGTTAGGGCGAGCTATCTTATTTTCTATCCATTGTTCTGATTTTTATGAACTCTTTACAAACAATGTAATCACAATGTACATACTCTCATTCTTTGATTTGATTGCTTTCTTTTGGTCAGCTGGACCCTTCTGCACATGTAACTTGTCTGTTCAGATAAACCTGAGACATATTTCAACTTTTGCGAACCTTTTTTTGTCAGTTCTGTAATTTCTGATTCTCTTTCCTCTCATGTTCTTCTTAACATGTTATCATTTCTGTTATTTCCTAGAACTCAAACTTTACTCTTGAAAATTAACTGTTTGAATATTATAATACTAAATTAATATGAGAAATAAACAGGCTAATCTACAGTATGATGTAAATAGAAGTGAATGGTATAAATCTGCAGTGTATTTGAAAAGCACTACATGGGCAACAGGAGCTCTGCTACGGCTGCATTGCAAGCCAGCCTACGGGCCGCTTCCTGTGCCACATTCTGTTTACAACTATTCCCAATTACTGGTGTTGTTACATATCTCCCTTTTTGTATTTATAACAGATTAGATAGGAAAACCTCTCAGATGCATTACATTATAGAAAAGGCAGCAGTAAGAGCATCGGGGCTGCTGGGCTCAGAAACTGGACAACTGGTAGTCCTCACTATGCTGAACGTCTGACTCCGAACTACTTTATACAAGCTCTGCTTCCAGTAGGTGTTGTGGTTCAAAACAAGGCTTCCTACTCAGTCATTGTATGTGCATGCACTATGGTTCTTCCACTAATCAATAACCATCAATAAAGTTTGGTTTTCTCAAGAAGTTCTCGTCTGTTCAAGCCACATTGCATTTGGTCTGACCGTGTTGTTATTGCTCTACTGTACTGTGTGTTGTTTTATATGTTTCTTATTGTCAACGGTCGGCATGAAAACACGAAAAACTGCTGTGTGTCCGTCTCTCAGTACTTCCTGACTTTCTCTGGCTCTCAGCCCATTGGTTCCTTCTGGCAACGTAAATAATGACCAACAACTCACAAATATATTGTTTCTTTTCTGAAAAAGGGTCAGTAACTAAAACAGCTGGTCATCGTAGTTTTCAGCAAACGTTACTCAAACAGGAGAGAATAGTGTTTTGTTTCAGCTGCTCATTAATACATGCTTTACATGTGATAGATAATAGTCAAAATAAACTGCAGTGTGTGTTCACGGTAATGATGTAACATGCCACCTCGTGCAACAGTGTGGTTCATGTCGGCCTCTGGTGGCCAACAGGAGTATTACAGCTTATAAAAGCATGTAGATCGCGCTTAGAAAACGGATCACCAGTTGTTCTCTTCTCACTTGCCTCTCAGGGCTTCGGTACACATCTTTTAATCTAGCGGATCATTTACACTTGTTTGCAATTAGCAACAAGCATCGGTCAATACTGAAGCCACTTTTTCAAAACTCTTACAGTCTGCAATACCAACATGCATCCAAAACACTTCATACATGTCTCAAAACACTGACAACTATTCCCACTCAGAAAGGAAACAATGTCAGCCATAACACACGGTTTTTTCATATCCTTGCACTTAGTAATTTACTTGCAAAATAAAAAGTTGAAACAAAAACTAACTTCCTGAAAATCCAGAAACATCAACAACATGTGCAGTCTAATCAGGCACAACTGTACAGTACTGTTGGGGGTTCCAGTCCTCCTCAACTTGGAAAGAATCTTCTGGAATGTTTAATCCAACCATGCAGTCTTCAGAAGAAGTGTCTCCACGCCCCGCATTCATGGCATCCAGTAAGAGCTTGTGGTCATGTGGATGGTGGTCGTACACCTTCCACCTCCACGCAGAGAAACACTCCTATGCTTTAGGAGAGGGGAGTATGGAGGCAGAAATAGTACTGACATCCTGGGATGCTGTGACTGCAGCAGAGTGGTGGAATACCAGATCATCCCACAAAACAAACAAGAGAGGCCAGTTCCTTGCCCCTCAGCTTCTCTCCTCCACTGGAACGAGTGGATTATGCAGGTCAACCAGAAGAGAAATGAATGAGGCCAGTGAGTGGTTTGTGTAACAGCAAACCATTGTGGGACAGTGCTGCACACATTGTGATGTTAGCTCCTCTAGGGTCTGGGACTTCCGCGGTTTCTCTCTGTCCAATCCCATTTCTTCCCCTGCGGCGTGTTTTTCCCAGGATGAATCCACTCTTCTTTCTCACATGGCGGTGAATGTGCTCGCTCCGTAAAGGTGCCTCGCTTAGATTCTGTATACATATGCATATAAGTTGTGGTGGAGTTTTTGATTCACAGTTACTTTGTGCTCGCTGTCCTCTCTGATAACCTGTTTCTCTGTCTTTCGACATTAGATGTCTTTCTGGTCAAAATCATTCAGATCTTCAAAACTTTTTTAAAAAATAATATACTGATTTATATCTTGGCTAAGTACTCAGTCCAGTCGCCTTAGAGTGGCTGGTATTGTTTTCACCTTGTGTGAAATCATGGACAGAATGTCATCTGTAGCAGAACTACCACAGAAGTCTTTAGTACTTTTCCAGTTGCTTGTCTGTCTGTAGTCAGATTTGTCACAGTACTATTGTCACAATAGATGCAGTCACGAATATTCTCAGGTGTAAAGTAGGATCACCTAGAGTAGCTGGATAAGAAGTGGTGAATGTGGCTAAGTGGAGAGCAGAGCCGCCCTTCAATCAGAGGATCGTCAGTTCGATCCCTGGCTCCGGCTCCACTAGTCGCATGTCCTTGAGCAAGACACTTAACCCCAACAGTTGCCCCCGTAGCTGTTCCTGCAGTGTGATAGAATCTGAATTGTAAGTCACTTTGGATAAAAGCGTCTGCTAAATGATGACATATTGTAACCCGTCATTGCATCATAGTCCTTGTGAC